TATGGCCATATTAACATTTTAGAGCCAATAAATTACAATCATCTGTATGTCTGTTTGGGTGGTGTGAGGGAGAGAATAATGAAGAAACTCTTTGTTAGTTCTCCAATGCAGAGTGTGTGTGTGTGTGTTTTTGTGTGTTATTCTTACATTATAAAGACTAAATACGCCCAATAATATAGCAATACCAGTACATCTAGACTTTGTGGGGACATGTATTTGTTCCCCGTAAGGAAAATACCTCATAAACCAGACAGAATGAAGTATTTTGACAAGTAAACAATGCAGATTGTTTTTTTGTGAGGGGTAGTGTTTGAGTAGAGGGATCGAATATAAAGTTTGAACAGTATAAAAATCTCTACCTCAATGGAAAGTCCCCATAAAAATATGTTCAAGTGTGTGTGTCTGTACATACAACAAGCACATTTCACACCCATTACATATGGAAAAGTCTTCTCAAGCGATTACAATACTTCCTCCGAGAGACCAGAAAGGTTACCTGGAGTGTACTGCTAATTAGATTCAACTTAGCACATCCAGGCAGCTTTTTTATGCTTTAAAAACACCGCATTTTATCCTAATTAAAGTAGCTAGATGAATCCCTCGCGCTCCACAAAGACAGAGCAAAAGCCCAAAGAACACGGAGCTGCTTTCTGGCCTTTGTTCGCATGGAGGGAGACGCTATCCATTACCTAGCCATAAACAGCATGAGAGTCTCCGTCTCAGCGCCTCCCGTTGACACCCGCCTGCCTGAGAGGAGGCGTAGTGCTGAGAGGAGGATTTTCACACAAACAACAGAGACTAAAGACAAAGAGGGCGCGGAACAAAAAAACACGTCGAGGTGACGGTGTGGGCACAGGCTGGTGCCGCAGAAGTGTGCGAGCTCGGTCGGTCTGTGGGCCAATCTGTGGCGCCGAGTCCTGGCAGGGATGGAGCAGCCGCGCGCGGTGACTCACCTTCTCTGTCAGGACAGCGGCATTGTGCTGCGGTGAGTGTGTGTGGAGCAGTGATCACACCCGCCAATTACACTGAGCTCAGCTCACTTTCTTCAGAGTGACATACACTGTCAGCAGCAGCACGCGGGCCAGAGGTGCTTCACTCGCTGCCATCCGCTCCTGTACAACTTGATCGCACACAAATTGGACAGTCGCCTTCAAAAAGAAGCGTTTTGTTCCAGAGGGACGAACACAGCTTGGTCACACGTGGAAGCCTTTTATAATCCATCATGAGCGTCAGTTTGGCCAGATATATATTCGCTGCATTTTAGTTATTTTCATTATAGTAATATTTTATGAAAGAGGTGGCAGAGTAAACAACCTGGGATGACAGCTTGCATTAAACACCTGACGAGTTAGCCAGCTGAGCTGTCAAATGCTACACCTAATGTCTACTTGGTTTTAAACTATCTATATTTATTAACCCTCAAAAGAAAACATGTGCAGATGAAAAATGAGCCTCTGGCAGTTTTAGTTGCCTGTGGGCCCTACTGAGTTCTGAAGGTTAAAGAGAATGCAAAGCATTACAGATGTATCATCACTCCAAATATTGAACCTAAAATGAAACATTCACAATAGGAATAAAATGTTTTGTGTAAAAAGTAGGCTATATATGTTTAGGTTATGTGCTAAATATATATATATATATATATATATATATATATATATATATAATAGCTCTATAACTTGTTGAATATAAAAAACTTTTCATATTTTTGAATTATTGGCTGTTACTCAATTCACCAGCATTAATCACGCCACACTTTGAGCTAGACTTTATTGATGGGGAATGAAGGGGATGGTAAGAGAACAGTGGGGTGAAGGAGAGGAAGTAAGAGGATAAACAGTGAACAGGTGGGTAGTTTGATCGGGCATCCTACGATGATGCCCAGCGAAACCTTTGTTAACAAGTTAACTCAATTAAAAATGTAATAATGAATGTTTAGTCCATAACATAATCTGGATTATTTAAAATGTCTTTACCATTGGACTACTTTCTAACTAACTTGCTTATATATTTATTTATTTTTGTATTTATTTATTTATTTATTTATTTATTTATTTATTTGTAGTTTAAATTCACGCTATTCAGAAGCTTAAACCACAGTTATCTACATTTTTCAGGATAAATAGTATCTCATTCTATCGTGTGAATGATTTGTAATCCTCTTAAAAATACCAGGAATCTGATTATAAGTATTTTAAAATTGTACCTACTAACAGTTGTGATCAATGAAAACATCTCAAGTCACTGGCAAATGAGCTAAAATAAGCAAAAGTATTTTATTTTAAGATGTGTGTGTTTTTTTTTTTTTAGTTAGATGATGTAAAAATCATATAACCTATGGGTATTTGTTTATTTATTAAAAATATTCTGGAGGAGGTCTGTAGCATCAAACATGCATTGTAGAGTGGATTTCTGATACGCAATATAAGAGATGCAACAGCTTGATTTCGTAAGCCAAGACGCTCCACGCTGAGTGTTTTATGACGTTGTAAATTGAATGTTTCTTGGTTGTGCACTGCCCTCTGCTGGAGCATAAACACACAACAACAAAAACCAACAAGAATGCCAGGGGCCGATTATGCCACATCTCGACGAATAACTGTGATTTGTTGTTTTTGTTTAATCCCATTTTGTGGTAATTACCACATTAACATTCACTCAGAATAGACTAATTAATTGCATCTTCAGTGATTTAATCATGTATATTGGTTGACTTTGTCATCTCCTTTCACCATGCCTACTTGAATTGAGAGTGAAAGGCTTGATTTTTTTTTCTTTTAGGAGTGTGATGCATCTTTCTTAAACAATGCCAGTCAGTCAGTTCATGAGTAGGCTCCCTTATGCAACTGTTTGAGGTTCTGAAGTTAGTTTTAGAAAATGAGTCAGCCTGTTCAACTGCTGTATTTATAATCACTTTACATGCTCATCCAACTAGTTGACTACTGTAGTTAATAACAAAGAAAATCATCTTATTGTACACACATTTCACATGTAACACATCATGTACTCTAAAACTTAGCACACACCCTCACACTTCTCCTTGAGGTCATGACAAGTTCTGTTTATTCAGTGTTAGTGCTTAAGTCATAAAGAAATTAAAATAAACCTCATACTCCACTCAAGACCATCCTCTGTGTGTGATTCTGTGAGTATCTGTGTGCATGTTTTTCATCTATCAGTCAGTCTGTCTGTCTGTCTGTCTGCCTGTCTCTTTGTCTATCTGGTTGTCCATTCATCCATCCATCCATCCATCCATCCATCCATCCATCCATCCATCCATCCATCCATCCATCCATCCATCTATCCATCTATCTATCTGGTTGTCCATCCCTCCATCTGTCTGTTTATTCAACCAACCAACCTATCCATCCATCCATCCATCTGGTTGTCTGTTCATCCATCCATCAGTCTATCTGGTTGTCTGTCTGTCTATCTGCTTTTACGTCCATCCATCATCCATCCATCCCTCCATCTATCTGGTTGTCCATACCTCCATCTGTCTGTTCGTTCAACCAACCAACCCACCTATCCATCCATCTGGTTGTCTGTTCATCCATCCATCAGTCTATCTGTCTGTCTGTCTGGTTGTTCATCCATCCATCCATCTAAATATCTGTTTGTCCATCCCTCCATCTGTCTGTTCTTTCAACCAGCCAACCAACCCACCTATCCATCTATTCATCTGGTTGTCCGTCCATCCATCAGTCAGTCAGTCAGTCAGTCAGTCATTCAGTCTGTCTGTCTGTCTGTCTGTCTGTCTGTCTGTCTGTCTGTCTGTTCAATTCAATTCAATTCAATTCAGCTTTATTTGTATAGCGCTTTTACAATGTAGATTGTGTCAAATCAGCTTCACATAAATGGTCATAGTAACTGGAACAGTGAAGTTTAGGTTTTAGTGTTTAAGTTCAGTTTAGTTCAGTTTAGCTCAGTTCAGTGTGATTTATTCATTACTGAGAGTTCAAACACTGAAGAGCAAATTCATCGATGCGTACCAATCGTGAACCATGCGAGGCAGTGGCGACAGCGGAGAGGGAAAAAAAAACTTTACCTGATGGGAGTGAAGAAAAAAAACCTTGAGAGAACCAGACTCAGTTGGGCACGACCATTTTAATTTCTTCGCTGGCCAAAAGTCTTGTGCAGAGCTTCAGTCACCGCGGTGGGCTGGAAGATGGCCTCAGCGAAGACTCGTATGTCCCTGGAGCATCACTGGAATCAGACTCATGTTCTCCACTTCCCATGACCATCAGCGCAGCAGCATTTCAGGATATGGCCTGGTCCTGGATATGGAAACCTTGGGATCATCTCGTCACTGGTCTTGGATCCAATCAGTGACTCCGCATAATCTGAGGACCTCGGGATGAGTATCCCCAGGTGAAAATAGAGAATAAAGTGAATAATTAGCGTAGCTGCTGTTCATAGTGAATATAAGCAAGATGCAGAAGCCTGTGTGGAACCCAGGTTAGGTGATGCATTAAGTGTATGCTTTACTAAACAGATAGGTCTTTAATCTAGTTTTGAACTGGGAGAGTGTGTCTGAGCCTCGGACGTTATCAGCCTCGGACGTTGTCTGTCTGCCAGTCTGTCTGTCAATCTGGTTGTCCGTCCATCCATCCATCTATCTGGTTGTCCATCCATCCATCTGTCTGTTCTTTTAACCAACCAACCAACCCACCTATCCATCCATCCATCCATCCGTCTATCTGGTTGTCCGTCCATCCATCCATCTATCTGGTTGTCCATACCTCTATCTGTCTGTTTGTTCAACCAACCAACCTACCTATCCATCCATCTGGTTGTCTGTCCATCCATCCATCCATCCATCAGTCTATCTGTGTTTATTAGTGTTTGTCTATCTATCTATGATATTGCTTTAAAATGTGTTGATTGTCGTTTTATATTTAATCTTTGATGCAGACAAATACGTAGATGATTATTATTAGACTGTTATTAACCACAAACTGCCCTGAGATTGCTTGTGTATAATGTATTTTTCCCATTCTGTGTAAACAAATGGAACAGAAGGCATTTCTTTTGATTTATTCTATGTGTTTGACTAGCCAGCGTGAACACCAAGTAATAGTTTCCTGTAACAGAGATAAAAGCAGATGTTTCCAATTGGGCTCAGAACTTGCGTTCATTTAAAACACGCTTGGTGGGTTGTGCTGGGGCGCTATTGTTTTTTTGATGACTTCCCCTACCCCCATCTACCCCCTTCTTTCGGATAGGCGGCGGATTGAACCCCTGCAGACTAGAGTCCACCTTCAGTTTTTCGGACTTCGTCGAATTTAGACAAACTTTGCCGTGAGTTGATCGAGCTCTCTTTATTCTCTGGCCTCCAGAGGCTGAAACACTGCTCAAATCACCTCGCGCTGACACTGTTCAGCTTTTCGTTTTGTTTTAGAGCAGTGGTTCTCAAACTGTGGTACGCGTACCACTAGTGGTACGCGGGCTTCCTCCTAGTGGTACGCGGAGGAATCGCCAAATAATGAAAGAAACAATTAACACTTTTAATCCTTTAATGCGTAATATAACATTGATGTGAACAGCATTGGCTGTTTTGTGAAGCGTACGATCACAACGCTGTGCTTAGAGTGTTTATTTTAGTGCATTGTGTCATAAGCTGCTGAAAATCAGTTTCCGAAGTTTAAGAATTGATTCTGAAGCGTGATTTGACTGACATGAAAAGTGGCCAATCACAGTCGACCTTGTCTAGTTGCGTGAAACGTAAGGGCGGGACAAAGGTTTTCTGTGTTGCAGAGACAGAAAAAACAACTTAAAAACAAATGTTTTGTTGGAATAATGCTTCTCGGATGTTTTCACTACAGAGATGTCTAGCAGAGTAATTAAACCGCGGACATATTTCCTGCCTATTTGATGATCTTCATACACGTTTCGCACTCCAACAGCCAGTCGACTCGCCTCTGACCTGTCACTCCTCTAAATACAGTCTGAATGGCGGCGCGGGAATGGAGGTATTGCGCAATTACTCATTTCTGCAAATGTGGCGAGTGCTTTATTTTAACACGAGAGCGCATTCATGTACGCAAATCGCTAAAACAGATATGCGAGCTCTTAATTAAGCTTTTTTCAAATGAACTGCAAGTGCTCTCATGATCGCCTGTGTGCTCAGATAGAATACAATCGCGATCTCTCCACTATTAAAGTAGACATTATTTATCTTTGCTCCTTAACTAAATTTAGTCAAAAGTATTCAAAGTTATCAAATATTTAGAAATAGATTGATACATGATCGATGACAATGCTAATAGTCTTCTTATTTGGCTGTGTTGTGAAGTGAAACTTACTTTTAGCAAAGGTGGAACATTTTTTATTTCTTTACGACAAAATAATAATGCTGGAAATGTTTCTGGATGAGGTATTTGTGTGATTTATACATTTAGCTGTATTCTGATCTGTCCTAAAGCATTACAGGTCAAAGCAATCCATTGTTAGCCTACTTATTGTTTATTTATCACAATTTACAATAAGGCTCTTAAAGCACTGCTTTGATAAATGTAGTGTTGTCATATTTCAAATACCTCAAGTAAAATGAAGTCATTTGTTTTATTTTTTTACTGACAGTGTACTTGTATTTTTTTTACGTTTCTATTTTAGATTAAGATCAAGTGTAAAATAAAATCTACATGATGTACAGCTATTTAAGAAACAAATTTGCCATATTGTAAAGAAAATAGTGTAAAATATGTAAATAAAAGGCTAAATTTAAATCTTTTTACCATATACTTTAATTTAACCTTTCAAAGCTTAAAAATATATATTTTTAAAAATGGGCAAAAAGTGTCTCTATGGCCTTAAAGATTATGTGGTAGTTTTACCAGTGCTATTGAAAAAGATTAATTGTCATGAAAGGAAAAATTGACTATACTTCCTTTGTTAGTGCAAATTATACATGTAGCTTTGGGATGTAAGCAATCAAACCATTAAATTAGGTTTACACTTAAAAAAAGTGATTTCATAATGAAAATCAGATTTTTTTTCAAAAGTAACCAACTAGTACTTTTTAAAAGAGTAATTTGTACTTTTACCTAATATTAGTATTATTTACTAAAATTTGTGTTATTTTAGCAGTGTAATAGTATTTTTACTTGAGTACAAAAAAGATTTCACAAGCATTTAGTGCAGGTTTATTATACTATTAATATATGATTAATAAATAGTATTATTAATGGTTTTTATTTGTATCTATTCCTATGCAATGTTTTATGGGTTGCTGAGAATACATTTCAGGTCTTCAATACATAGCATGTCAGTCTTGAAAAAAAAAATAGCTGCTGGAATTGATTTTCATTAGGCTGTGCCTGTATGAACCCTGTCATGTACATTTAACATATATTTCAAGATTTGTCTGAAAGTGTAGCAATATGACATATAGCCTATATTTATAAGGACCAAGCAGCATTTCCAGCTTTTGATGAATAGGCTACTATGAAAACTTTAGATTTAAGTACAGCAGTTTTCTTTTTACTTTTTAAGAACAGTGCCATTTTTTATGAACTTTTAAAAGCACATTTTAACTAAAACTTTTTTTTTTTTTATCTGCAAGCACAGTTAATGTTCAGACTATTTCAAATGTTTAAAGTGACTGACAATAATACATATTCTTACTAATAAGAAGTAATCTGCATCGTTTTAAAACTGTGCACACCTGTAGCTGCTTAATTAGGATTATGACGCTATTTTTTAATACTGGTTAAAAAATAGCGTCGTAAGGTGGTACTTGGAGAGTCGATTTTTTTCTAAGGTGGTACTTGGTGAAAAAAGTTTGAGAACCACTGTTTTAGAGAATGAATTACCATACACGATTGTTTGGAGCAAAGTTATTAGTTTTATTCATCATAAGCTTTTCTCTCACTCATGGATACCCGTCAAGTCTGTTCCAGGGCAACGCGTATTCAGGAGCCGTTCACAGGCACCGAAATAAGTAAGTTGCTTAAGTAATTATTTGAAGGTTTACAACTTATTTGTGAGCATGTGTGTGACATTCGCAATATCATGTTCTTAATATCACACAAATTACAAGTTATTTAACTCTCAGCAATCTTCTGGAGTGACATTTTAATGCTATTATTTTGTTCCCATGTTGTTTTATCGCTAAAGCAACAAATAACAAGAGGTCAATCGATTTATTTATTGAACTTTCTTCTCCTCCGTGGGCGAATATATCAATGGTTGTTTTCACAGTTGTAAAAGAATTTGCTTTCATTAAAAAAGAAGATAATAAAACAAACCACTCGCTTCCAGAAGTCAGTGATAAAAACGAGTTTTGGACCATTTTTTTAGGTTTTTTGCAACCACAAAAACGTATTATATTCTTATGCTGTTTCAGATATTTCTGTTTTAATATATTTAACTGTGTTGCACTGAAATTGGTGCGACAGCCACATATTTAAGCACTTCACAGTATTCTTATTCTGTTTCTTCTTTTTTTGTGATTTGTACAGAAACTGGTGCGCTTTTATCGTCCAAAAGAATGTGAGCTGCGCGGTTCAAGGCAGCGTGGAGAGTCACGTTGAACCTGAAGCCGCGCGCTGTCCTGAGCACCAGCCTGACTGTGAGCCACAAATGATGTAAGTCCTCGAGAGACCGGGAGGGGCGTGTGGTGGAAACACGATGTTGTCAGTAGTTCTTATGGTCTTAATGCACTCAAAGACACTATACTGACCAATCCCATGATTCACGTTAACTAGACCTGTTTCACATAAACAGGAATGTCAGTATACGACATTAAACATTACCAGAATAGCTTAAACTGCCTGCTCTACCAAATGGTTGGCCATATTTTGACTGTTTTAAATAATGACTGTTAAAGTCATTTAAAAATGACATTATTAAATGTTTTTAATAATGGTTTACATTACACAGCATTGTTGGTTTACAAAAAAACAAACTTGTTGCTCTACTACAATTGATTTTGGTTTTGTTCTAAAAATAATAATAAAAACAAGAAAAAATGCTAAATGAGAGTCTGAAATATTTTATGGCATACTTCAATAAATAAAGGTGATTTAGTATTTTAAAATGTTTTATTTTGTATTTTGCTTTAAGTAAACTGGTATTGCACTTAGTCACCTTGGAATTATAAGGTTCTATATGCTTTCTGAATCATTTGCGATACAGAGCTTAAAGTTTTTGCATTCTAAAGCAGACAGTATGTGTGTAACTTTTTTTTTTAAATAAAAAGTCCTCAAATGTAAACAACTTATATATATAAAAAAAAAAAAAACTCCCATAATGTAAGTAAGTTGTCATTTAATAAGAATATGTCAATAGACCAATTTTGGCAAAATGTCAGAGAGAACCTTATAATTCCAAGGTGACGACTTCATATTTTTCTGATTTACGTACTGATTTCAACTGACATATTAACCATTTGGTAGAGGTTGATATTTTGCAAATTATGGGATGTGTTGAAAAAAATTAATTAAGTGTGTTAATTAGCGACATTAGGAATTAAGAAATGCAATCCATTTTTTTTCGTAATGTCATTCAGTTAAAGGGTTAATATAAAACTAACATTTAGATTGTTTGGTAAGAATAATTGCAAACATTAATAGGACTAGTCACTCAGATCATGTTTTGCAGTTAAAAACTACATCTGATAGAGTGTATAAAGACAAGGGTTAAACATGTACGTTTAAAGATTCATCCTTGTCCAGTTCTCTCTGCAAAAGTTAAAATCAATTCAAATGTCTTTCCTCATTTAAAACAGAATTGCAACTTTTAGTTTCCTCCTCACACAAGCATCCATCAAAATGATGTCTGGTGTTTTTGTCATCTTCAGCAGTATGTTGTTATTTGTTTTATTGTAAAAACAAGAGTTCACACATTATGTAGTAGAGCAAAAAAGTTAATGTGCAAGCTGCACGTTCATTGAGCATGTTGTTACAAAAAATGGCACCACATGCACACTCCAATCGGTTCTGTTGATGATTTAGGATGATTTTACATTAGCACTTTTGGTTTGCACCCAGGTTCATTTGACGTCAAAGTACGGTACGCTTAGCTAGTGTGAACCTGTCTTTTAAACTCGGGTGCACACCCGTGAACTGTACTCAAGTCCGCCTGAAAGAGGTGGTCTAGGGCACGATTTGTGCGAACTCTGATACGGTTCGCTTGTGATATGATTGCTATCGCACCAAATAACAGAAGTGAACCGCCAACTGCACAACAAACTTTAGTTTTCATAACATTCATTCTATTTGTATGTCTGTATATCTCCTAACCTTTGTAACTTGATGACAAGGGGGACTGGCCCAGGGCGAACAGTAATAACATCTGCTTTTCTCCAACAAAGCGATGTTCTGAACGCTTTTAATGTTTTCTTTTTTTCAATTTCAAAGCGTTCCTTTTACAGCATCACTGTTTTAATGTAATTACAATACATTCAGATAATTAGAGTTAAGCATTCATTTTGTTGTCCAAGCGTAAAACAAGATGAAAGTACTGCTAGTAACCGTTAGTTCTGTCAGTACCAGCAGGCTATTGCAGAAAATACTGGGGTAAAATAAACTGTCATATTTTAAAGACATGGTGAGGGGAAATGGAATTTGATGCAGTGCTTCTTGTCTGGTCTGAGACTCACTTTATATTGTATATCTATCAGGCAGTGAAGATTGCTGATTTTTAAAGAAGACAGACCTTAAACGTAGCAATTTTATAATGGAAAGACAGTTCACCGAAGGCTAGCTGGCTTAAATGAAAAGTCTGTGTGTGCATATACTCTTATTGAAAATTTTCTAACAATTCTGACTTTTTTTCTTTCTCAGATGTGTTACTTTATAACTCAAATCTAGTCAAGATTTTTCACTTTTGTAAATGTGAGGACAAATGGTGGATCCAAATGTCATGTTTGGCAGAAGCATGGTGCTACATGCTAATAATTAAACAAAATATAAACCTATTCACAGCTTAAAAGGTGGATAAATGTGTTTTGAGTGTAGAAAGACCTTCTGGAACAGTGTATATGTGTGAGTGGAAAGGAATGACAGAGATTCCCCACCCTGCTTTTTGTAATCACTCGGGATTTTCCAAAGCACCTCTTTATTCCTCAAGAAATCACTTGGATTCCAACTACTCACATACTCTGGTCTGGACTGACTCAAAACAAGTGCAGTCATACATACGTCCTCAGTGGTGAACATCAGCCATCTTGAAACTAACTCTTGTAGTGTTTTTTTAAATACCTTTTATTGATTTCGATTTTCCAGATTGTGCTGATTCTGTGGCAATGCCAAGAGTGAAGTGCAAGATGTACTCAAGCTGTTCCCTGTAGTTTGCTGACTAATTTTCTGTTTCAGATCTCACTTTCAGAAGGGCAGTTTCACTTACTATGTAGTAAACGTTTAGATTAAAAGTCACTAAAGACATTCATTAACTCAACTGAATGTCCTAGTCTAGAATTGTTATGACAGAATTGAGATGTTTTTATAGAAAATGCTTCTCAGAGGGTTGTTTGTGCTACAGCACTTAGTCACAAGAAATGATGTAAGCTGTTGTTTGCTTTAAAAGCCCATTGGGTCAGACTAGTGTTTGATTGAATATGTGGAGACTGGAAGGCTTTACAGAATATACAATAAATTGTACACTAAGATGAAATCTTTTTGACAAACGCAGACACTCAGTGCTATATTTTAAGGCAGAGTTGCCAATTTAATACAGTTTGTACTTCAGGGATTTATGGTGTATGATTTCATTCTCCTTTATTTAGAAAATCATGTCATGTAAGGAATTCAGGACTGCCATATGTGGCTTTGTTTGACTGTTCACTAGAAGCATTATATAAAATTCCTTGCTGTCATCTGAAGCAACTGTGACTTTAATCACTTGGCTCAACTTGTGGCATAATAACTAGAATGATTGCCCTTCTAATTGCAACATTATCCATCAGAAGTAACAAGATCAACACCATTAAGTGAAGCTAGGCAGACTAGGCAAGTAGACTCCTTTTATTAATCCCTCTCAGTCTGTTCAAGTTAATACTTGCCTTTACCTTTGCTTTCATCCTGTAATAGGGGCAATACTTCAGGGTCCATTACTCACGGTTCAAAGTCATAACAATAAGTGGCTTAAGTTTAGTAAATAATAGTTTGACGAAATCAGTTTTAAATGAGATTACGCCGTCAAGTTGTTTTTGGATTTTCACAGCATGTAAAATCATCATAATCAATGTTTTTTTTTTCAGATACCGTACTCGATTTCGTCCAACTTATAAGATAGCATACAAGACCGTGACTGAATTAGAATGGCGGTGCTGTCCAGGATATCAAGGTCCAGACTGCAGGGAAGTTAAAGGCTTTCCAAATGGACAAATAGCGAATCCACAATCATACCCACAATATCCACAGCATGGACAAACTCGAACTGCACAAAGTATGGAATCTTTCACAATGATTGCATGTTGTTTCTGTATGTTCTAATGCATGTATTCATTTTTTAGGTTTAAATGATCTTAATGGTGATTTGTTTCTATACGTTTCGTTACCACAGGACCAGAGCGGCGGGAAACTGTACAATATGACTTGAGAAGAGGAGCTGACAGAACACGAATGTTGGAAGAAGAAGTGCAACGTCTCAGCCAGACAGTTCTGGATCTTCAAGCTGCCATGACAGGTATGGCAGAGAACCTGCGGACAGACATACAAGAGGACACCAGCAAGATGCTCATTACCCTCCTCAATGACAGGACTTCACCTGACAGCGCAAGAACTGGAGGCACAGAAGAGAGTGTGGTGCTTCTTGACGGCCACCAGGCTATGAGAGGCCAAACTCATGGAGAAAGAGAAATGGAAACGGTGATGGCAAGACTCAATGACGTCACAGATGCTCTCAAAACCAAAGACGAAGCTCTTGAGGAATTGCGGGGAACAGTGACGGGACATGACAATCAAATCCGAATGCTTATGGATAGTGCTTCTCAAAGCCTACCAGTTGCGGGTGATTCTTCTCAAGATGTAGACGTCCTTCAGGCTTACGTTGATGAGAAATTTGAGAAGCTCAAGAAGGATTTTGTTGTAAACTTGGAAGACGAGATGACCAAACTGAAAACGGCATGTGATGAAAAGATTCAGTCTCTTCAAAAAACATGTGAAGAAGGACAGGAGAACGGCTACGGGAGCCTCACCAATCTAGTGAACAACAAGGAAGCTGAGCTTAGAAAGGAGATTCGTGAGCTCCGATTGGATTTGTCCATGTCTGATGGTCTCATGCCCACAAACCGCCAAACGACCATTGGAAAAACTGATGGTGACTACAGTGACTTGAGGAGGGAAATAGCTCGAGTGGCAGAGGCTCATCGGGTCCTCAATGCCAGAATGGACAATGAGCTTGAGCATCTGTCCTCACTGAAGATGGAAGATATAATCGGTTCACGCCTGGAGGACCTGGAGGACAGGATGAACGTCACTGAGAGGAACGCAGAGACTTATTGTTTCTATGTGGAGGAAAAACTTACCAAGGACATAATGAATGAAGTAGCTATGTTACATCAACTTCTTGATCAGAAACTGGATGGTATTCAGGATCAGTTCACTTCCATGTTGATTGAAATGAACAACAATTCCTTTCCTCTGATTTCAAGTGATTCTGTTGATGCACTTCAAACTCAGGTTACTGCAAACAAGTTCCTTATACAGGGGTTAGAGGACAAGTTTAGTACACTTGGGCAAAATTGTTCTACCAACTGCAAAAGCAACCAACCCTCTGATTCCAAAAAGCCTGAAGGTCTAGAAAGTGTTGTGAAGGATGTGACACTCTGCAGAAATGATCTGGATGTTTTGCGTTCTGATTTTGTAAACAGCATAGCAAAGATCCACGCATTAGAGGATACTATTAGGATGTCACCTGAAAAACAATTCATCAATGCCCATATGCAGGATACCGGCAAAAGACTTCATGCTTTGAGTGACAATGTAATTGGCTTGTCTGGGGCAATAACAGGATTGGGAGACACGGTTAGCAAATTTAGCCAAGACCTTCACACTTTGAATTCCACTTGTTGCCAAACAGGGCAGGTTGACAATCCATCTCTTCAGGCAGAAACTGGCAGACCAAGCCACAACCAGATTGCGGAGCTAAAAGACAAACTGGATGCACTGAATGTCCGAGTGACCACAGAGTTGAGTATGTGTAAAGTCAACACAACTGGAGTAGCTGAGGGTGTCTCTGCAGTGGATGACAGGGTGAAGGCTCTGGAGAAGATCTGCAGACGGCTTGACGGTGGAGCGAGCAATATCCAAGACCTTTCGGGGGAATTGGAGAGGAAGGTGGCACAAATGAATAACACCCTGGGAAGTCATTCAGGAGAGATCTTAACTCTTCAGAACTCCCTTCTGAATTTTCACAGCCAGCTAGCAGGACTGGCTAAACAGATTCATAAGGACCATACGAGTAAAGAACAAGGTAAGCTTTCAGAAGTTAATGGCAAAATGAGAAAACCACAGATGCCCACATTTAGCCAGTTAGGGTTAGAAAATGGAAACTAGCTCTCCTAAAAGTCTGTCTTTGTTTTTGCTTTCCAACGTGCAACTTCCGATTTTGGTGATCTCATCTTTAGGCATTTGTTACCAAATGTGGTGTTTCCATTAATCTGGAGTCAATGGAATGCTATGTATTGAAGTGCAACCTTTCTCCATGCTGAAGCAATAAGGGGATACATATAGTATACAATAGCTTGTATGCCTCTAAGCTCTAGAGAGGCAGGGGGCCAGCAAGAGTTTCCTGTGCCCTTTTAATGTGCCTATAATATGTCAAAACAACAGTTAGGTGCTTTGGTATAGATCCCTTTGCCTTTTATTTTCACAAATCCAAAACTTGATCAGTTGTAGTTTCAGTTACCTTTCTTGAAAGCTTAGATCCTTTATTATCTGAAATGCGGAAATGTTTACTTTATTTTAGTCTTGATCTGTACATTTCATATGTATACATTGGAACATTATATATATATATATATATATATATATATATATATATATATATATATATATATATATATATATATATATATATATATATATATATATATAAAATATTGTTTTAGTGTTCTTCTGTGGTTTTTAAGAGTGAAGGAGTTGTGTGGTCTTAGATTATCACTGTGTCATGCTCGGTTTTCTCCGCCTATAACGTTTAGAACTGGCAGCATGTTGAGTTGCAGGCAGGTCTGGTACTCATTAAGCTCCAAAGTCAACGTACGGGCCTCAGGAGGTGATGAATTCCCACACCCTTCTGCAGATGTTCAGCTATGAGTTGACTGTGATGTCACCAGAGAACACATTCTCTTTAACGTCCATTAAAGGGTGATGTCATCATTCCTGATAAGGGCGGGGGTCTGTCTCTTGCTGAAACAAACTCTTTTTCCAAGATCTGTGGCTAAACAGTTACTGCGCTGATCCGGTCAGTGTCACAAAGATCTGTATGTCTTTACATGTTTGGGATTTTAAAAGTAATTTTAATATTTATACAGTGTTAACACAATAAATTTGCCCTTTAACCTTAAATAAAAAATAAGTGTAGCGTTAAAGTATTAAAGACGCTAAATCTAATGCAGTCGGAAGTTGTAAAATCCTCTGACAAAAAATAAAGCAACAATGCTACTGAACCTACTGTGCGAGACAGCAATCAACGTGGCCCAATTCCCAAACAGATGAGTCTTATTATCAGTTTCTTTTGAGAATCAAAAGCATACAGCACAACTGCTGTAATCTGACATCCCATAAATTACTCTTTTTAACAAGTTATTTTTTTGTGTAAATCAAAAGCATAGCCTACAGCACAATCCATGTATTCTGACTCCTAAACGAAAAATTTTTATCACCTGATTCTTTTTAGCAGATCAAAGGAATAGAGATCTACCAGTGTAGTCTGACACCTGAATAAATGAGTCTTTGGCTCCTTTTAGTGCATTAGACCAGTGTTTCTCAACTGGTCGGTCGCGGTGTGTGGTAAAAAAAAAAACAACAAAAGTTACATTTTTACTTATTTTGGTGCACGACAACCCTACCGTTTGACATGTGAAATGTCATTTAATTATTGCAACAAATATGTTGAAGCGCAAGTACGACCCGAATATGTAAAGTGTGGATATATATATTGACAACAAAAAAGACTTAAAGCCTCAGTGTCATGCTGTATGTAGTGAGGTGCTCCCATAAGAGAGCATGAAACCTTCTAAATTAAAACAACATTTAGAAACCAGAAAACATGTTTTATTAACAGTTTATTATTAACAGTATTTGTCGTTTTTACTTTGTAATATTTCTATAATTTGATCCATTTTGTTAAAAGTTTAAGCTTAAAGTTTAAGCTTAAAGTTATAGTTCACTCAAAAATAAAAATGTCCTCATTATTTACTCGCCCTCACGTGGTTTTAAACTTTTATGAGCTTCTTTGTTCTGTTAAACACAATGAAGATATTTTGACAAAATGCTGGTTGATGGTACCTATTGACTTACATAATATTTTTATTATTGAAGTTAATGTGTACCATCAACCTGCTTCTGTGAACAAAAGCAGAACAAAGCAACTCAAATAGGTGAGTAAATGATGACAGAACTATCAGTTCTGGGTGAACTCTCTTTAAATGCTAACTGCATTTACACTTTCCTTAAAGGAGATGTTCATAAGAACTTACATGCTAATTTACATGCTAATTTACCAGGCGGGAGCCCTGGGGTCCGTTCTTCGTACTTCGCCTAAATGATCTAAGATTATTTGGCAGATTCTGGATCTTTTAATCTTGATAACTGATCTCTGGCCAATTTGGTTCTTCAAACAAGTTCGCGAATCAGATTAAAATGTCTGGATGAACTGATCTGAGATCGCTGCGTTAGTTGTGAAGGACAGATCTATCGATCCTCGAAATCATGATCAGCAATGCAACGATTGGCTGATGGCACAGCAGCATAGTGACATCATCTGATTAATATTCAATTATCCATGTGAGCAAAATTACATCAAATTCGCAGTCAACGGTTTGTTAAATATGATATGCAATAACTTTACATCACGAGCAATTCTTTTAGTTTTACAGTTAGAGCGGATTTTTGGTGTAAAGAATAAAGGTGGTAAAGGTGTCTGCAACTTGTGTGAAGCATCAAATCACTGGAATATTAACTGTTAAAACACGTTTATTAAACCTGCTTCCGACCAGGTTTGAGCTAGCAGAACTGTTGCTATGAGAACAACTCTTAGATCAGTTTTGAAGAACGAAACGATCCTGGATCATGTCAAATCGTTAATAACCAAATCCAGCTAACTCTCCCGAGACAACATGCCTAACCTGATAATGGAGTGTGTTAATATAGCCAACCTCTAATGGTAAAAAATAATCAGTTACATTTTTTATTAAACAAACTTCATAAAAACAGAACAGTCTGCAAAGACACTTTGATTGACATTTACCCTCTGTACATGTCATCAGATGAGGAAAGCCCCACCCATTAATGATGAACCCTCTCTCATTACCATAAACAGCCCTGAGTGAGAGGAGCAGCCATCCGCTATTAGAGATTTCACACTCACTGTATAAAAAACCTTTGCTGGAGAGCTTTTCTTTGAGTTGATTTAACTTTCAATCAAGTACTGCACTTGACTCGGTTTAAGTACATTTAACTCAAAAATGATGCTGGCTGCCCTAAATGTTTAAGTTAAGTCAACTTTTGTTTTTACAGTGCTGTAGTTCTGTACCAGTTGAAGAAAATTTTAGCAACTAAGAGGCAGTATAATTGTTGAGCTTTAGGATGCACACAGCATCTCCATAGATTACCTATCTCTAAGCCACTTCTTTTGACAATTCCAGTTTTTCACAGATAACATTCGTTCTGTTTTGATTCTGCCACTATGCAGATAGACAGGCATTTGTAGCTCCTATTTCTTTTGTAAAGAGGGTTGGGAGCACAATCTCATTTGAATTTAAAGTGACAGTCTCCAAAATGACACAATTTCAATTAAAGCCTAAAAGGAGCAGTTTCAAAGAGTTATTAAAAATGATTTGTGGGATATTTTGAGCTAAAACTTCATATACACTCAAAGATTTTGATGTATTTGATCAAGTCACAGACATCTCAAACAATGTTACCTCTGGATTTAAAATGACATTAAGCGAATATCACTCTGACAGTTCTCATAAGCATGAATAAAATCTTATTCATATTCATGACACGAGTCATGTCATGATTAAAAAAAGTTTCATGACAGTCTTATGAATACTCCTTTCTTATGAGAACCTGTAAAAGTAAACAAAAAGGTCGATTTAAAAAATAAAGAAAAATGAAAGTTGTCTCTGTAGTTTAAGAAAACTAAATAAATAAAATATTACAATAATATCTAGAGGCTAATTATTAAACTGCGGTAATGCCATCTCTACGGTCATGTGTCCGGATGCTATTAACATGCATTTCAGTGGTCAGATCACAAGCCGTCAGCCAAAAAGCCTGACTGTTTTCTCTTAGCATTAATATGAGTTCAGATGTGTTTCTTGTGTTCTGAATTCATCCAGACCCATCCCTGTTATTTAGTCACACTCTGCATTACATTCACAGGAATGCTCAGTGCGACACACGAGTACTAATGAATGAAAAAAAAAACGATGCTGCATGACTTACCAGCAACAGGGAAAGCGTAGGTGGTCTTTTGTGGCTGTTCGAACACATTCAGCCACATGATCATGTACACTATGTAAGGCAGAAGTAGAAGAAGACTTTTATGTTGTATAACAGTATGTTGGTATGTATGTATCTCAAGCCATCATGATTAAGCTCATAAAATAACTGTACAGGCAGGTTATTGCCAGTTTTTTTAAATCATAATTTACAACACCAACCCAAACAGTGTACTACTTCAATGTATTGAAAATGTAAAAAAAAAAAAAAAAAAAAAAAAAAAACTCACATTTTCACACTTCTCAACATCAAATGTTGTTGGAGGAAAGATCATGGACCCAAAGTAAATTAATAGCAAAATGAAAAAACTGAATTTATGGATTTTTTACAGTTTAGGAGATGATACAGTTAAAACTTTCAAGTCAGAAACACAATAGACCTTATCCCTGAATAGCTTCAGCATTACTCAAACTCTTTGGCTGCAGATCACGCCAGAGACACATTGCACAATACAGGAACGGCCCATCCAGCTGCATCTCTGTGACAAAGCGACCAACTTCAGTTTCTTCTAATGTATTTTAATGGCTCTTTATTGATTTTTCATTAGTTTTTTTCATGATTCAAGACACAGTTAAGCCTGGAAATGTTTTAGGGCTGCTCAGAAAACGCCCTTAACTAATGTTGATTCACTTTTTCTTTCTGGCCATCATTAAGGCGTGTTCAGACGAAAAAAAAATCTCTTGCTTTGGAGACAATGACTTTATTTCAGTTCTTGAACTCATCTGGAACCATTTCCATTTTCTG